ATCATCAGAGTTCCAGCAAAACATCTAAGTAGGAATGCTAAGAACTCATGGGTGGGTCATTTTGAAAACATCTGTCTTCAGAGAACCCTGAAAACTTCTTCAATGTGCTACTCAGAATGCTTTCCACATCTGGATGTATCACTTCTCAATATAAATCTGTACATAGTCGAGCTAAGAACTTCAAAATTTGTTACTGACTTAAATGGTAGGGTTATAGAGCATATAATTAAGTATTTCCATTGCCTTAAAGTCTTGTAGGTCTCACATATACGTCAGGAAAAAATTATATCCAAGTGCAGCCCAAACCTGTAAATGTTTCTGGCATGTTTCAAAATATTTAGTCAGGTACAGCTGAATTAAAGCATAGAATATTGCTAGTATTGAAGAAAAGTTTTCAGACATTTTTTATTCACAAATTTGTTAAAGTTAGGACGTTCTCAGCATCTCTGAAAAAAACCAACAGATAACCATTATTTCCCCTTATTTCTGCTTTTCATTTTTAATGGAAAGACAATATTCTCATGTCTTTATGCTGAAATAGTATAGCCATATATTTCAAAAATAATGCAGTGTGAATGTCATCACAATGCAAACCTTCTATTATCATTTAATATGGACACAAAGCTGACCTTTTTTCATTCATGAGCAAACTGAAATCAAGGAGATTCAGTATGTACTGACTTTGTGACAAGTATGATTAATAAGGTATGCAATTCCTTGATTTAGGAAATATTTTCTAAATATTCCTCTGTAGCAATACACTCAAAACATTATTTTATTAAAAAATCTTGTTGTTACTTTGAATCAACAGGATTTTATCAGTTTTTTTAATTCAATAATTTCTTACTTTTCAGTGTGGCTTTTAAACCTCCAAGAAAAATTCTCTTTCCATATTCCATGCAATATGGATCCTTCAGACCATAGAAATAACATAGTCTACTGTTAACAAGTCAGATAGGACTTGTCATTACATACTGAAGCTCCAAGCTAGCATTAATTAATTTAATGTCCATATCTTTCACCTTCTGTCAGCTTTTGAAGAGCTGAAATCCAGGATATATCCAACTTGTTGAGAAAAGAAAAAGACATTAATTTAGGGCTTGACCCAGTGTCCACTGAAGTCAAGAAAAAGATTAAATTAATTCTACTTGGTTTGGGATGAAGCCATGATGTTAAGTTTCCCCACAAATTAAAGTACTACATCTCAAATTCATTTTTTTCTTCCTCAAGACAGTAAAATAAAGCAGAATAGCTTTTAAATTATTATTTTACTTTATTTTAAATTGTTGTGAGTTATAAGTAATGGTTATGAGTTATAAGTAATTCAAGGCAAAGCTTTGCTTTTTAGAGAACATGCTCCAATTTTATTTGCAAAAATGTTTTGCAATTGACCAATGACTGACTGCTGGAGTTAAAATTATGAATAGTATGCCCAGAATTCTGATGAGGAGGACTTTATATTCAATAATTATCTGTCTAGAAAGGACATTTATGTTCTATTTTTACAAAGCTGATTGCTTTATTGATTCACATTGTTCCTTCTTTAAAGTACTGAATGATTTACTTCCCTACCAAAAGAGGTGGTGATTGTTTTTTGAGACTCATAAGTGTCTTTGTAAACACCCCCCAACATTTTTTTTTTAATTAAAAAAAAATCTCTTAATAGGGTTCATAGATTTCCTCTCTGACTCTATATAATGTTCAGACATTGTTGTGTAATCTAATACGGTCTAAAACACTAAGGAAGAATGAAGACCATATCATTAAGATCTCTGTAGTTTGTTCTGTAATAGGGCTATAATTTTCATATGCTTATATGTTCTTCTTCACTCCTATACACTTCTGGCTAGTAAAAAGGTTCAAATAATCATTTTCTGTTTCTCTCTTTGTAAAAATCATCTTATTATATAACATAAGTACTAATAATATTTACAAGGTATACCAGCATGAACTATAGCAGGCAGAAAAGATACAGTAAGTAATATTGCTGTGTAACTTCATTAGAAAGAGAAATTCTAACAAACACCCTATTCACCAGCTCAAATAAGTGGAAAACTGCATTCCCTGAAGGAGAACAAGTGTAATTAATGCAGCACGATGTTCCCAATACTGGAAATCTGCATTTTGATACTGCCTGCACACACACTGTTTTCTAAGAAAAATTATCACCTAAGTCCAAAATGTAATATGTGGCCAAAAAGGACATGATTAACGAAAATTATAATAGTAGGTCACTTCTTTAAAGCTCCATCTTGAACTTTTGGGGAACTGTTTCAGCTTGAAAAATTACAAATTGAAAATATAGAAATGTAGAAAAAATATAAGTCATATGTGTATCTGTTTTGATCCTCTTACCCATGATTACAGGGACAATCTAAGAGGAGATATATTCCTCTTCCAACATTAATTAATTTAAATTTAACAGGTGCCAGCAGCAATACTTGGGGGGGGAAAAATGCATCAGACAGAAAATGCTAGAGTAAAAATATAAATAGACAGTTTAAAATGCGTTTGTGATCTCAATTCTATTTTTCCATTAATAATGTCTTGATGTTTTGCCTGAAGTGATAATTACTTTGTTTAAATAGAGCATCTGAGGATATACTCTCAGCCTGAGTAGCCAGACAGATAGTAAGTGGTAAATGTAGCTTTTGGTTTCTTTCAAAAGGCTCCCCTCAGCACTGGAATTGCATCTATTTGACAGTGATGCATACAAAGAAGAACTCCATATCTGCAGATTTCACAGAGTCCAACAAGACTTTATACATTTACAGTATTGTATTAAATATTTTCTTGAAATAAGCTCACCTTACTCTACTCCAATCAAAATCTTTGGCAAAAAAAAAAAGCACTAAATATTTTAGGAAAACCCATTAACTGCTGTTAAGGTCCATGTTCTGTTCATCTATTGGTCTCTTTTTAACATAATTGGTATGTCCACAAAATACTTCTTTTTGCTATTAATCTTCCTTTTCAGAAAAGCTGGTGAGTGCAGTCCTATGACAAAACAACTGTGATGGATGGCATCTTTTGTATTGCTTATTTTGTGTTTTTGTTCTGTTGGGGGGGGAATCTTGGTTTTGGGAGTGGTTTTGGTTTTGGTTTTCTGGGAAGTCAAAGAGGTAGCAGACAGTGAAATGAGGGAGAAAGTGCTCTTTCTTTGGAGGAATTACTAAGCTTGCTTAGCAGACACACTTCAGACTACAAAATTCGACTGGCCGGGAAGACACAAAATGCAGCTGGAAACCTGCAGGTTATAAAGAGACCGAGAAGAGGTGCTGAGAAAAATGGAGCAGACAAGTGATGCTAGAGATATGATCAAACGTTTAGGGAACAAAGCAGCTTAAAGTGTCATTCAGTTAACCGGTATTAAGCCTGTAAGCAGGGAATTGCTGGGAAGAACAAAGCAGATGAGAAGTGTGTAAAGAATTTAGTTTCTTTTTTTTGTTGTCCTTATTTGCTTTGAGTTATGTTTTAATTCAGAAAGATTAATATTGTATTTTTCATTCTAATAAAATTTTAGTTTTCTACTTTAAATGTCTTTTGGTCTGTAATTCCTTACAAAAATTACTATAGACTTACTCACTTCAAAGTTCTGGTTGACTGGAGGTCTTGTCAAAGTAAGAGAGTGAACATTTTACCAGAGGGAAGGCAAGTCGTAAATAACTGCTATAAATTCTTCAAAGTGAGAGAGATTACTAGATAGTTGCCACATAGTTTAATACTGGGCACCTTGATTTGTTATTATGATTAATGCCTTGGGTGACAGTACAGAAGATAGACAAGTGGTAAGATTTAGACTGTTGTAAAAAAATCCTGTAATGAAACAGAGAATCAGACTCTACAAATCAGAGAGAGAGATAGCAAACCACACATATTTGCAGGTGACCATGTGTGCCTTGTCATGTGAATGCTTACACATTACATTTGAATTTTGAAATACGGATAAATGTAAAGTGCCACAGGTGGGCATTTGTATTCTGATCAACTATGCATTACATTTACACTAACAATAAAGGGCTTCAGCCAATGCAACATACTAATCTCAAGGCAGGCAGTTTTCTATTGCATGACATATCAGCGTGTAATGTCTTAAAATAGAATTCTCCAATTTAAACATAAACCGATCAATACTGAGTTACTAATAAAATTATATCTTCACTGTGGTATGAAGAACAGTCTGTATGACTATTAAAGCTTATGAACTTAAGACTTAATACTTATATGGGTTTATGAATAATGGCATCAGTCAATGAATTTGAAAACAATTTTATACCTCAGAACTCACCCTTGTTAGATATTACAGGAATCCTAATGAGATTGTGTAAATTTTCAAACAGGCTGCATTGGAATCCTTGATTTGCTGACAAATTGTGAATTTTATATTATATACATGACACTTTCTTTGGCTGACAGAGTTCTAGCAAGTACGCAGTTTACATCTAACTTTCACTCCAAAGGTAAGTTTTGACAGAGTAGGCAACATACTGTGTAAACCACATGACAGACTCCAGAGTTACAGAGAAGTACAGCCCTGCACATACCCCTACAGCCATCACCATGTAAGTAGGAAACGGGTGCATCAGTGACTCACAAAATTATAATCAAACTCGTTTGTACTTAGGACAGACTTGTAGGCACCTACGTTTTGCAGAGACTGACTCCTTTCAATAACCTACATGCTTAAGTTAGAGATCTGAGTGTCATTACAGCACTCCTCGTTTCAGAGCAATGTTCCCTGAGAAGTTGCCAAGAGGGTTGAAAGGTATTGGGTGTTACTGGTTACTAAATGCAGGCAGTTTTAATCCCAGAAAATAACTTGGTTCTTACGTAGCACATACATACTTATCCAAGAGGTATCCCAATCAGCATTTTTATATCACATATTAATAATAAACTTCTCAAAATATTGAAAAATATTTTGGAAATTTATATTTACTTTGAATTAAAAGTCAGCACTACTAGTGACATTTGTATATCTATATGAATATCTTTGGTACCTGTAAGTGATATGTTTGTGTTGCCATTTCTGTCCTGTTAACGCGTAGCGTTTCCGACGAATGTTAAATTTGGAGCTACCTCTTGTTTGGTCAGGCACACCACATCGAGGCTTCTTCATCCAGCTGCAAGAAACAGCACCACATAGTTAAAGCAACATGCAAGAAAAATCATATCCACTGCACCCACCTAATAAAAACATCACACTTTTTTGAAGTTACAGTATGGTCAATTTTGTTTCTACGTGCAACAATGACAAATAAAAGGTACAGTTATCTTGTCACCAGATGTATAGTTTGTGGAGCTGCATTACATCCCATGACATTCAGAAACCAATCTCTTTGCTTTTATTTTTCCTGGTTTTCTTTTGCTACAACCTCTGAACAAAAACTTTACAACTGGGCAAGTCTTTCTTGTTAATAAATTATTCTGATTCATTCAAGGTAATTATGATCTGTATTACTAGCTTGCTTGCTGAAGCTGAATTTAAAGCATATACAGAGTGTTTCTCACTTGTAGTGTAATGGGTTATTTAGTTTGAGTAACAGTGACCAAAACCCAGCTAAAATTACTATTTTATATGAGCTGTATAGCTGCAGAAAAATTTACCATCAGGAAGATAGTAAGATTAAAGACATTCATTGCATAAGTAAAAGACAAATCTCCTCTGTTACTTTTCCAGTTCATTTGACTTTATTTCTATCATGCCAAATAATTACTTATGTAAAAGCTATAGTTTTCCAATGGTATTTACCACAAGAGTAGTCATACCCTACATTCAGGCTTGCATGAATGAATTTCTGACCATTACACTGGCATTTAAGCATTGTTTCATAAATAAATATACACACAGCAGCTGTATGTATGACTGGATGACAGAAAACTCATTTGAAATGTCATCTCAAAATGTAGACTCCTTTTAAAAGACGCACAGGTTACAAAAACTCAAAAAACCCCACCAGCCAAACATTTTTCATCTTTTCCAGTGATATTCCTAGTTTAATATATGCAAAATGAAGAAAACCTTCTTGTTTTGTCCAAAAGAAAACATGGAATATTTGCAGTGCAAAGGAGTAGTGTATGTGTGTGAATAAAAAACTACACAATCTAATGAAATCATCGATTTTTCAGTTGTGTACTCAAGGAATGAGATGTGCATTGTAAGTTTTACACCTACTAATACAAGATAAACCATACTGCATACTGAATGAATTTTTAGAGACAGGCTAATCCAGTCAAAATCAGCCACACTATTTTTCGTAAATCTGTGGGAAGAGGTTTAAAATTACAGCCAGACTTATAATGCTTCATATACGCTGTAGCTATGGATATATAGCAAATTATCATTTAAATGCCTAAGTAGGAGTTAAACTCACCAGCCTGTGGGAAAATACAAAATTTTAGTGAAAGTACCAAGATGGTACTGCACCACACTTGCACGGGTAAAGACTGTAGAAGTGCCTGCAAAAACTTTGATGGGTGACACATCCATCAAGCAGTACAAGCGAGGAAGCCAAAACTTATGAATTTGACTGCATGAACTGAAGACATTGAGTTCATAGTTACCTGTTTCAGATAAGAAACAGGGAATGATTTGCTCTAATTTCTGGTCAGAATACAAAGTATGTGAGGGACATAAACCCATTGACTATAATTTGTATTTGTAAGGAACAATCTTCTTTCCCTAGTGCCTGCAAAGACAATACTGCAAAATCTATAAAACTTTACCCCACCAGTATCTGCTGAAACAAAAGCAAGTTCCTCTGCTTTTTTAAAAGAAGTGTCAATTCAACAAAGTAGATGTTAGCGCTTTCTGGGATGAAATATTATTGAAAATTTTAATTTGCTCTAATAAAAGAATATGAATGAAAGCAGCAGATTTTAGTTACAAACCAAAGGGCAGTTCTATTCCTCTTAGTAAAATGATATCATATTTACACTTCAGCAAATGAGATTAAAATTGGCTCAGACCTCAGAAGACTTCTAGACACATTATCAGTAACACTTTTTTTGCAATGCATTTTGGATCAGCATACAGTTACCATGCATTTTAATGACAGGGTATATTTAAAATATGCTGTTGAAATTGCACACGTACATTGCAGAAAAAGACATATACGTAACAAAAGATCAGTTTTATCACCTTAAAGTGATATCACTACATCAAAAGAAAGAAGCAAGATATAAAGCAAAACCAGATAACTATTCTATTTTATTAGAAAGAGAGTACAAAAATGTCAGTCATATAAAATATAATATATATATGTGACCATATATATATATATGGCAATGACTTTAAATCAATTGAATCAGGTCTCCCCCCCCCCAAAAAAAAAAAAAAAAAAAAGAGTTTAAATTAGTTAGCTTAACTGATGGAGACCTATTTTAATAACATGGTTTTCTCACTGGCAGGTTAGGGGCAGATAAACATAAATATTCCAAGTTGTGAATTTAAAAAATAATCTTTAAAACTGTTATTGAAATAATCTGTCAAATTATGTCAAAGGTTCAATACTCTTACAGAAAAGAATGTTAGCATAAAATGTTTTAAGATTTAATACAAAAAGTCAAGAACAGTAGGTAGTATGGATTCAAAATTCAACATTGTATTATCTTGCTAGTACTGACAATCCATTTTTAGCAAAACAAAACATAGCCTAAAATAACATGTTATGAAATTCAAGCAGTCATAAATTGTTCTTGATTGATTTTGAAGTGGTATGTACCTATCAAGAACATTATACTTGTGTCCACATTGGTTTGGATGGGCCGGGGATGTTCCATGCTGTCATGCCGTCTGGCCCACTGATGTTCTTACTGTTCTTACATGAGGACTGGGACTGGGAGTGTGGTTCGTACAAAATGTAAATCCCAATGTAGATCAAATGGAAGCCTTTGCACAAGTGGTTCACTAGCTTTCAGGAAAGTATCTTCATGTAAAATTTAAGGAAAGATGCAATTTGCAACTGAAGAGCCAAATCTATCACATTGAGCTGAGCTGAACTAAATTTAGCAGTCAGAATTTTAAACAGATTATTACATGGTTAGTAGTGGAGTCCAGTCTTTTCTAGCACAGAAATGAGGCAATGTTAACAACTTCTGGCACATAAATTTTCGTTTTTTTTTTTTTTCTTTTTTTTTAATATGTTAAAAGTACTTTTTTAAACAGTGATGGTTCTCACACTGACTGGGAAGAAGACTTCATCAGCAATAATCTTTAATGCTCATGACATTTGGAGATATGTAGTATGTTATATGTTCTTTCATCTGAGGAGGAATTGACAAACAAAACATTTGTTCCTATTTTCTTCCAAATATAGCTGCTTTTAACATAATATGATCAAGGTATTACATGTACTTGATTGTTTGTTGGAGTTGAATTTTTTTTTTTTTTAAATAATTGTTTTTCATTTTAAAAAGGTGCATATTGGTAATGATTTTGTCTCTCTTTTATCTGTTTCTGAACTTACACAAATCTTTTATGCAGCAGCCCCTCAAAAATAATATTTTATCTGTACTCAATAAAGATGCTTAATTGTGATTAACGCACTCTATCTGTAGACTATGTTGCATCAAATTCCTCTCTGAAACTGAACTTCTCAAAATTCATGCCAGTTACCTGACCATAGCATGTTATTTGGGGGTTAAGAGGAAGAATCTCTTTCTGTCTCCTCACTTTCTCAAGCCTTCAGGAAAAAGTTTTGGTCTAACGTGAAATCAAAACATTAAACCCCCCTACCTTTGGTTAAACACCCACCCTCGTTTACCCTTAATCAAAACTGTTGTTTAGGCTGTATAATGTTGTTGTTGCTGTTGTTGGGTTTGGGTTTCTATTGGCAGAGTTATAGCAAAAAAGGAAAATAAAAAAGGGAGAGTACAACTTGACTTAGTGGCTGGAAAAACTATGGACATTTGTTTAAGGAAACAACTGAATGGCACCCTGAAACTTCTTGTGGAGAGAGATAGATATGTTTTCTAAACATTTTTACTTGTCCCTACTGTATTGCATTATTACAGGCCTTTACTGACTCTCCTCTAATAGGAAGCAGTCAAAGAGTGATGTAAGATACTGCATTTCAACCCTGTTACTGACATTGGTTTGTCTGCAAGGCTTCTCAGTGAGTGTTTCCTGAGGGATCAAGACCTTATGTATACCTTTTGTACAAAAATATTTACTAATAAAATAAACTATGAGTTGATTTCAACAGCTCAAAATTTACTCTTACTATATGATTGATAATTAATACATAAACAGCAGAGATCACACAAATATGACTATATCTTAATTATGAACCTTGAAGTAAACTGGGTTAGAAGCTCATCTGTACATTAAAATAAGCACATTTGCCATTTATTTATAAAGGATGACATTAAAATAAAAAGAATGCTTTGTTACTATTACATAGATTTAGTCAGCATCCTGTACACAACCATTCTATCTGTATGCCAAGTAGTTTGTAATGTACCCCTTCAAACTGCAAAACGTGTTTTGGAAATAAACATGTATAGCAGTTTTAAGAAAAGACAATAACTAGTCTTTTTCTGCTTACTATGTTTGATTTAGGGATGTGAAAGACCGGGATGCCAACAGCGGGTTCGTTTTCAGAAGTCTCCTTTTTAACGAATCATTGACTATGTTTGGGAATATATCAATGAATGACAGAAAATGCTGTGACACCCCTGCAAATGTCAGACAGTATTTTCATTTGGTTTGCCATTGTCATGATACTTGTGTTGAGAATGTCCCTTACATTTTTATGTCAGTATAATGGTATCTCTTTCCACCACTCACTCTTCCTTATGCATGCATCATACTTCTCAAGCCATTTGGGAAACAAGTTAAAGAATATAGCAAAAACAAGTGAATGGTGAGTAGTAGGGGAAAGATGAACACTTCATATTTATGCATATCAAAATACTCATTGAGGGATTATCTTTTTTTTTCAGAGCAACAAAATCCCCCCAGGAGACTTTTGATGCTGCTGCTGCAGGCATTATTTGTCTGTTAATGTCCCCAAAGTTGGTTCCTATCAAGTCACTACTATAACTTCTCTTAATTGTTTGTCCTTCTGAAGACAGAGGCACATCGTAATCTCTTCTCAAGACATGCTAGAGAAGCAGGTAAATCCTCACGCACAAGTTGAGAACCTATTTTTTTTATGAGGTTCCTCCTGTACTCTTTATTTTGTAATCCCACCATTGTACGTAATCACAACATATTAATCACAGAGCAACAAATGGTAAATTGTCACATATTTCTGGCCAAAGAGAGTATATATACTTTCTGTGTAGATGAAAGGGAAAATCATTTCAAACATTTGCAAAATACTGCCATAAATGAACAATTAAAAAAATATTTATCCTTTGTTATATAGTCACATGTCCCAAGAATATTCAGTGGTGTTAATTAATGGTAATTGAGGCCACAGTTTACTTTAATGAGTTTATTTTTTTTTTTCTCAACACCAATGCAAATGTGACAAGTCTTTAAGAATCAGTTCTATTCCCAACTTGACTCAAGTTAATGCAGCTCCAAATGTAGCAAATGCAGCAAAATTGATCCAGCATGAATTATATGTGCCTAAGAGTTGCCATGCTTTAATATATCTTTCTGTGTAGAAGAAAATCATGCATCAAAAGGTCTGGAAGATTCAATATCCATCAGATTGTAACATTAATGTTCTGGACTGCTGTATAGATGGATTTCTTTGTCTCTCACATAGCGGAAGAAGTGAAGATAACCTTCCTGACATGCTGGCCAAGTAGTCAAATTTAGTAAACATAAACCACTTCCCTTTGCAATTAAAGTTTTGGTTTGGTTTGGTTTTTTTTCAACTCACTAGCTGATGCTCTAAATTAAGAAATGGCCTCCACTTTTCCTTAGGTTACCACTTTCTATCCTCTCTGTACTGCTAACTGTGAACAGATTATTTTCCTTTTAGTGAAATATATTGCCTCTAACAAAGCTGCCACTAATGTGTCTTTAAAAGGCTACTAGTGACTGATATAGCAGCACACTTCCCTCAAGGATCAATCACTGAAGCTGTATAAAGAACCTTGTCTCTTCACCCTGCACATGGGATCATAAACATATTTTTGAGCATGGCTCTCTCACAAGGCATTTACGGCTATTGCACTGCATATATAGTGCACTGCATGTTCTACGGTCCTTTAAATTCCTAAACCGAGGGATCAACTCACCTCCCCTTAGGGCAGCCCTAAAATCTGCTTTGCTTTATTGCTTTTCAATGCAATAATGCACGTGCCTGTGGAATAAAATGATTTTTCCAATCCTGCCAGCATTTTGGGTAGTCTCTTCCCTAAACTCTAAATGATAGAAAAATCATTCATGTCAGCTACTTTACCAAAAAAGAATAACGAAAGATGACATATCAGGCTGGGGCTGGGAAATGGGAAATGAAGAATAATTCCCCCCCCCCCCCCCAAAAAAAAAGCATTTTAGAGAAGTAGTAGAAACATATTTCAACAAAGTAAATGTTGGATATGAAGTGACAGTACTATTTTGTTATTGTTTGCTTTTCAAGCAAAGTAACTTTTTCTAAAAT